TTTTTTTTTTTTTTTTTAATTCATCAGCCTTCGTTGCAATCAACAACGACCAACAGCCTTAGAGGAAGCAACCAGCAGCTACCAGCTAAGGGAATCGCGAAAACAGGGACTAATCTAGTCTGACGTGAGCGATAGAGATGGAAGAAACGAGAAGGTACTTGAAAAGGGTGAAAAAAAAATAAGAAATCAAAATAATGATATTTAATTAACTTACACGGTGTCTGTCTGTGTCACTCACACCACCTACGGCTGGGCCTGCTACATAACAGGACACCCAAGCAAGGGCCCACAACCAAGGGATGTGGATCCGCATTTTTGCTGTGACAGCTGGCTCGCGTCTCACCTAAAAGCGTGGCTGCATGTTCTCTTGCTATTTACAGAATGCGAGCTGAGTCACAGGTGCCAATAATGCTGACCCGACACATGTCAAAATTTTTGCCAAGGATATAGATAACATGGCAGTTATCAGTACTGTTAGGCAACTACACAACTTCAAGTGCCTGCCGTGTTGATACCGATTGATATAGGAGCATAGCCAATCAACGACGGCCCCGGCCAGGCTTAGCAATTTCAACCTGTGCTTGCTTCTGATTGGCCGCAGCTAATTTTCCATATCAACTTTTCGATACTCCAACTTGAACTTTTTATCAATTTCCGCCCCATCCATTCATTCTCACCAAGCATCCTCTTTTTTTTTTTTTTTTTTTCCACTAATTATGCTTCCACTCATCTCCATGTCATTATAAAACATACTCGTCATCTTGCCACTCTCCGCGCCCGCCTATGCGGCCTCTCCTCCAACGTCGTCTACCTCTTTTCCTTTGCTCTCTTCGCACATCGCCACCGGTTACGGCCTCTCATCGCATCCTCACCATGTCATCCGCAGCTGCAGCCGCCGTTGCAGCACCGACCACCGTCTCAGCTCCCAGCGGCGCCCACATAAACGGTGCCTCTCACCACCAGCGTCCCGCGAAGCGCCCCAACAATGCCAACCGCAACGGCGCCAACCGCAAGTCCAAGCAGCAACGGACCAAGCGTGAGCGCAACATCACCGAGGGCTCGACAGAAGAGGTCCTGCGCTGCGACATTGATGCGCTGCTCAAGGCCCGGGGCGAGGCTGCCAGTGGCAGCGAAACAGACGCGGCGGCCGACTTGGAAGCTGACCTACCAGAGCCTTACACGGAGATTGAGGTGGAAATCCACGAGCTCTCGTCCACGGGCGACGGCCTCGGTATGGTCGCCGGCTCTAACCAGGTCTATGTGGTCCCATTTACCGCCCCTGGCGACACTGCGCGCGTCAAGGTGATTCGCCACATCCGCGGCGAGGGCCACTCCCACGCCGACTTTGTCTCCGTCGTCAAGGCCTCGCCCCTGCGAGACGACACCCGCATCAAGTGCCAGTACTTTGCCTCGTGCGGTGGCTGCCAGTTCCAGATGCTCGACTACGCCGAGCAGCTGCGGCGCAAACGCCGCATCGTCGTCAAGGCCTACGACAACTTCTCCAACCTCCCGAAAGAGCTCATCCCCGAAATACACGACACCATCGGCAGCCCGCTCCAGTACGGCTACCGCACCAAGCTCACACCGCACTTTGACGGCCCGCCCGGGTTCCGGCCAGGAAAGCGCGGCAAGAGCCAGGGCGCGGCGTTTTCCGCCTGCCCCGACATTGGCTTCATGCAAAAGGGCCGCCGCAAGGTGCTGGATATCGAAGACTGCCCGATTGGCACCGAGGCGGTGCGGCTGGGCAACGTGCGCGAGCGCAGGCGCATGCAGGACGAGTACACAAAGTATGTACGCGGCGCGACGCTACTCCTCCGTGAGAATACAACCCGCCATCCCAAAGACAGCGAAGCCGCCAAAGCACCCCTTGCGCCGCACACGGTTAAGTCAGAGGTCGGCGACTTTGTCGACGTCAAGTCCTGCGAGACTGATTCCAAAGCCACCACCACCGAGTATATCGACGACTATATCTTTACCAACCCCGCCGGCTCCTTTTTCCAAAACAACAACTCCATACTCCCCGTCTTTACCTCGTACATCCGCGACCGCATTCTCCCCACCGCCGCCACAACAGACGGCAGCAGCAGCCCCCCCATCAAGTACCTCATCGACGCCTACTCGGGCTCCGGCCTCTTCACAATCACACTGTCCTCTGTCTTCCAGCACTCCATCGGCATCGACATTGCCGGCGCCTCCATCGAGTACGCGCGCAAAAACGCCGCCCTCAACGGCCTCGGCGAGGACCGCTGCCGCTTCCTCGCCGCCGACGCCGGCGAGCTTTTCCGCTCCGTCACGTACCCCGCCGACGAGACCGTCGTCGTGCTCGACCCCCCGCGCAAGGGCTGCGATGCGAGCTTCCTCGCGCAGCTGCGCCGCTTCGGCCCCCGTCGCGTGCTCTACGTGAGCTGCAACGTGCACACGCAGGCGAGAGACGTCGGGGTGCTGGTGCGCGGCGAGGGCGAGGGCCGGCGCTACGAGATTGAGAGTCTGGTGGGTTTTGACTTTTTCCCGCAGACGGGCCACGTCGAGGGCGTGGCTATTTTGAATAGAGTGGAGGAGTGAGCGCAGCGACTGGAAAAGTGTGGCGTGTTAGTATTTTTTTCTTACATTTCTGGACATACTTTTGCCGCCTTCATTTTCGGTGTTATTTGTTAAACGCCAATAAGTCCTACGACAATGGAGAACGGCGCCATATAGAGAGGTCTGTCTGCACAGGCCTAGTCGCACCATGTCAGCCTCGAAAATTAGATATACAACCACGGAGAAAGCATGCGTTACGGACGAGATGAACATGAAGAAAAGGAAATGCTTAGACCGTAAAGCAAGTAGCTACATTAGATGCAAATTCTCCCAACGCCAAAATATCAGCCCGTTTATGCGTATCGTATGCACAGAATCACTCGATTCCTCCCCCCGCCTCCGGACACACTCCTTCATGCCACATTCTATCCGCTCTGAAATAGTTACTCAATTTCTTCGATTTGTCTCTCAGTGAGCGGCTTCAGAGCTTCCGCAGCCGCCTGCACCACCTCTGGCCGTCTGCTCTTCTTGAGGCAGTCCTTCAGTATCTCGACGCCGCCTTGTTCGCGAATCTTGTCACGCGCCTCGCTACCAATGCGGCCTTTTGTGGCCACCATGTTAAGTATGGAGACGGCGCCACGGTGGCGCAAATCCTCGTTATCATCGACGCACATGCCAAGGACAACGTCGACGCCGCGCTTGCGGTGGACGATGGCGCGCACGACGTACTCGAAGGCGGTGAGCGCCGCGAGCGCGCCGCCCGCAGCGCTGCGCGTCCCTTCGTCCTCGGCGTCGGCGAGCGCGAGTAGGATGTGCAGCCGCTGATTGGCGTGTGCACTGCCATCGGCGTAGAGCGCGATACCCTGGGGCGACTGCATCAGGTTACAGACGAGCTCGACGGCCGCCTTGGACACGAGGTGGTTGGCCGAGAGAAGCTGCTCCTCAATGTGGTTCCAAGCCTGGCGAATGATTTGCTGCGCAATCTCGGGACCCTCCATGGACGCCAGGTTCGTCAGGGCCATGAGAGACTCAAAAGTCGGAAGCAGGTCGCGTCGATCTGAAGCGGGGTCCGGCGGCAGGATAAATACGAGCGGCGCAATGGCCGCGTCAATGGGGTGCGCCCGTGTGCCACCAAAGAGTAGCGCAGGGTTGATGCTGATGAGGATACGGGCTAGGGCTTGCCCCGCGCTGCGTCGCTCGTCGCGTCGGCTCTCGCCGAGATTGCTCCAAGCGACGAGGAGAAGCTTCACGGCGCCCTGCTGGGCCAGCTGCCCACGTATACTCTTGATTGTGGTGAGTGAAAGAATAATGTTGACGATAATACCGAGAGAGGCCGCAGAATCATGCTTGCCGTGGGCGACCAGCACGGGAGTGATGCCCGCGTCAAAGACAGCTTTGCAACGCGCTTCAACGTGTTCGTCATCGTCGAGCGGATTCAAGCCTGGAATTTTGCCCTCTGCATTTGCGTACGCTTTCAACTGTGACATTTTCTTTTCCTCCTCGGTCAGAAGCGGACGATATCGAGTCAGATTCTGAAAGATGCTCAGAGCACCGTATGTAGTCGGCGAACGGGGCGGCGCGTTCGAGAGAACAGAAAGCAGCTTCTTGAGTAGTTCCGAGTCCTTGATTATGGTGTCTTTTATTTGGGGTTGCAGAGAGGCATATGCCAGTCCTTCAATGGAGTGTTGCTTGCCGTGGTCCTCGTTTCGGAGTATCATCTTGGTAAACAGGCCGGATAGTTCTTCTATAGACGTGACGGCAGATTCGACACGGGATTCACTTGGGTCTGTCAGTGCGCTTGGTTTCGGCACAGCCTGTGGTGCTAGTCAGTAATTGGCTTTTGTGCACTCGGCATGCGTGCTGCTCACCCGAAGTTTGGCCAAGATGACGGCCGCAAGATACTGCACTTGCTCTGAATGTTGTCTCATGGAAACGGACCCCTCTTCTCCTTGCAAGCCTGGTTGTTCGCTCAATCTTCTTCCCATGTCCATTGTGTACTGTTCCACAATCTCCTCAAGCCACTCCACGCAGTACTTTTGAATCGCCTCGCGACACCTGCCGTCCATGCAGGCGGCATTCAGCATCTCGAGACAAGCCGTCTCCACCTTACGGCTCTTCCATTGCCTGCGCATCAGCGGCCCAAGCGAGCTCAAGAATCCTTCATTGAGGAACATTTCAGACGTCAGGTCGGGTACAATGGCAAACGCGGCCGAGGCGACGCAGAAAGCGACAATATAGTCGTCATAGGTGCGGCGCTGGACGCGGTCGAGAAAAAAGGCGCGTAGATTGTTGGAGGCGACGTCGCCAGCAGCGCGCATGTAGGCTGAGGTGGTGAGAGCGGCGTGACCGCGCACAATATCGGGCTGGCGCATGTCGAGGTAGCAGAGGATGGTGTCAACGCAGTCGGAGTCAATGACGCGGCAGATAGACTTGTGGGCGGGGTCGGCCTCCTTGGCAACCGCATCGTCGTTGAGCATCTTGGTGAGCAGGTCGAGGTCGCGGCACGTCTCCTCGTCCTCCTGCCCGCCCTCCATGAGGCGCGCAAAGACGAGGAGCGTCTGGTCCTGGACCGAAGCCGCAGGACCTGAAGCCTGTATGGTCTCAGCGGCTGTGGCCATAATGGCGAGACGGCAGAGGCTGTGAAGGGAGATTCCGAGATTAGCAGGTCAAGCTGTGGTCGAATGTCTGAAGAGGGGGATGAAAAGGTGAAACATCGACGTCCAGCAGGAGCGTTTGGAGAATGGAGAAGAACAATATTATTAGGCCAACTGCCCCTCTACAGCGGCTCAGATAAGAGTAGTTATCTTATGCATCTGCCCCACTGCTTCCGTTCAACTTGACGGGTGAGATTTAGCAGCAAAGCTCCACTATCTTCTGCCGAACCCAGTCTTTGGTATCCACTGGATTTGATGAATCGCTGTAATTCCGCCGAAATCCACCACAGCCCCTCCAAGGCATCAAAGTTATAGCGGCCTTCCAGCGCTCTCTTGGCGTCGCATCACGTGAATTGGCGCCTGTGAACTGGGCGTCCAGCATCATGCAGCTTTGCACCGTGAGCCTCGTGCGTATTCTGCCTACAAATTAAATTCTTGTACCATCAGCAATTCGACCAACAACATGATTCCAGCATCCATGACGCATTTATAACGACTTGACTGCGATTGAGAAATAATTGTCTGTCACATAATCTCTTCGTCATCGAATCACGACATCTACCAGCACGCGATCGATCTGCATCCATCTGGGTCCACGACTACTCAGCCATACTTTCCTCACCCAGCTATTGTCTGACTCGACCTGCATGAATCTTCACATACCTCCAACGACGACTTCCTAGCCTACAGCTCTACGCGACCTCGTAGATAGCTCCTCACCACCCCCATATCGCGGCTCCGTCCTCACATCTCCTCGCCATGGACGCCGTCGATTACTCGGAGCACTACGAGGTCACCACGGCCGAGGAGACGCCCTCGCTACTCTCCGTCATCATCGACACCAACCCGCGCGCCTGGGCCGTCCTCGACGACGGCGACCTCCCCCTCTCCCTCCCCACCGCCGTCGCCAACCTTCTCCTCTTCATCAACGCACACCTCGCCTTTAGCGGCGCCAACCAGGTCGCCGTCATCGCCGCCCACGTCAACCGCGCCGTCTGGCTGTATCCTTCCTCGCAGCAGCAGCAGCAGAATCTACTTTCAAATACGTCCCCGCGGCCGAATCCCTCCGATGGCGACGTTGACATGGCCGATGCGCCCTCTGCCACCGGCACCACGCCCTCGTCGGCGAACAAGTACCCGCCATTTGCGCACATTGAGGCGACGGTGCTCGCCTCGCTCAAGCAGCTCATGGCCGAGACAACAGAGCGCGACCTAGATAGCACGACGACGCAACTTTCGGGCGCCTTGACTCTCGCCCTGTGTCACAACAATAAGGCCGGGCGGGCCCTCTCCGCCTCGGACACGGCGCTCCTCGACGCCGCGCAGGCCAGCGGCGCCACGGCGCCCCCGCCGATGAAGGGCCGCATACTCGTCCTCTCCGTGTCCGACTCCGAGTCAGCGCAGTATATCCCCATCATGAACGCCGTCTTCGCCGCCGCCCACAGCCACGTCGCCATCGACACCCTCGCCCTCGCCGGCGACGCCACCTTTCTCCAGCAGGCCTGCTTCGGCACCGGCGGTGTCTTCCTCCGCGCTGCCAACCCCCAAGGCCTACTCGCCTACCTCATGTTCGGCATGATCGCCGACTCCGAGGCCCGCGAGGCCCTCGTCGCTCCCGCCCACGACACCGTCGACTTTCGCGCCGCCTGCTTCTGCCACGGCAACGTCGTCGACACCGGCTTCGTCTGCTCCATTTGCCTCTCCATCTTTTGCGACCTGCCTGAGAACGCAGAGTGCCTGACGTGCGGCACCAAGCTGGCGCTCGGCCGCTACGGCGCCAAGCCCGCTGTCGTGCCCAGGAAGAAGAAGAAAAAGAAGAAGATCATCAACGGCAGCGGGAGGGAGGAGACTATGAGTGCTGCTGGAACACCGTTGAGATGATGTTCCGTAGCAGAGACAAATGCTATATTGGTTCGAACCACTACAAAACGTATGACACCAGAGAGGTACAAAACAGTACTCTGGGTCATTGTGTATATAATAAAAAAGGATACCATACCAGGCGATTTGAACCTTATGCAATTTTTATTCGTTTTCCTACTTATCTATGAGGTGCTTCTTCTAGGGTTTTGCAGGTAATCAGTGCCAAGATTCGCCTATTTGGTGGAAATCTTGCGAGATCCTTGGGCAATTTTACCACCCTCAGGCAAGCGAGACATGACACAGGTTGGCAAGGGATCTTTGCCGCCCATGGAAGCAAGAGCAAACGAGTCTGTGTTGTGCGCGAAATGAAGATAGTACCCAGCTCGCGTCTTCTTCACCGCCATGATGCCGATTGCGCCGGCCGAGGGCCCATTGCAGACGCCAGGGTGGCTCATAAAATCATTTAAAATAAATGACTGCATTATGGCGCTTTCATCGTAATCGTGTATATCGGTGCCGGCCGGGCCCTTGCGGGTGCCGTTGTAGAGTCGTTCGGCGCAACGCTGGGAAGCCATTGTCGTCGCCATATGCTCGCCTGTGCCACTGGTGACAGCAGCCACAGAGACTGCATCCTCATCGTCAGGCTGGCATGGCACAACTGCAGTTCCAACTCCGACCAGGGCAGCTGGCCCAAGACGGCCGCGATGCTTCATTCCAATACCTCCTGATGAAGAACCAGCTGCAATCAACCCTTCCTCGTCAATAGCTATAGCGCCAATTGTGTCACTTATAGAGTCTGGGCCTTGAACAGGCACATGTAGATGCTTATTCAAAGTGTCTTCGCTGTCATCAGGCCCATCCAAACGTCGCTTCTGTGGTTTTCGACGCCTTTTCGGCTGTTGCCATCCTCCCTCGTCGTTCGCGGGGTCAGTTCCTGGAACAGTGGACTCTTTCGCCCAGCCTCCGAGCCCATCGTTTTCCCCGTCATTGACATGACCTTCATTCGGTTTGAAAAATCTACTTTGCTTCTTCGGTTGGGCTTCGAGATATGTAGTCTTCCAAGAGGGATTCTTGGCGTGGTTCCAGGCGTTTTGCGTGATACCCAGCGTCGTCAATTCAGCCTGCGGAGCATCATCCATTCCCGGGGGCGGCAAGTAGGGCGAGTTAGGCTGGCCTTCATTCCAAGTTCCTGACATGATGGCGGCAGCGTGATCTCGTGAAAAGGTGATATTCGGCTTTGCCGGAAGAGTTTCGTATTGGCATGGCGCACAGTGCATGGCTTGTGTGGATTTTTGCGCACTGCTAGCTTCCTTTGCTTTGACTTCGGCTCTGACTAAATCGTCCTGCCAGCGCAAGAAGCGATCTCTGGAGTTTTTGGAGATGAGATAGTCATTGGAAAATGTCGCCATGCCGTGTTCTTCTGCATATATTTTGGCACCTTCTCCGACGAGGGCATTTGGGGGAACTCTTCGTAGGCTCAACGGCCGCTTGCTTCCATCAAAAATCAGTTTGGCGAGAGAGATTGGGTTCCGAATGTCTAGAAGAGTAAGTATAAAGCTGCGGGTATTTAGCGTGCAAGTAACCTACTTGGTACGGCACCACATGCGCCGCTGCGGCCCAAATGATCAACGATTGTTGCGTCACATTCAACAGTGCCGTCAATGGAGAGGTTGGATCCGTAACCAGCGTTGGTAATTTCCTTGTCCTCCAGGACTCGCAGCGAGGCCTCGACGGCTTCCGTTGCACTGGCGCCGGCTTTTAGGAACCTCATTCCCATTTCAGCTGCCCTGTGACAGATTTGTTAATAGCGTTGGTGTACGCGTGCGACCTAGACTTACGCAACACAAGCTCTGAGGTGAACGTCCTCGTTTTGGTGGCTGTGGAAGCCAGCGCCGGCATGAAGGAAGATGGCTGGTATACATCGTTTTCGCTGTTTCTGTCCCAGAACTCGATCCAAAGCCCCATCAGTGTTGCAAATCTCAGGCTCCGGAGACAAGCGAGCTTGGTGTTGAGGACAGCCAGCCATGTCCGGCTAGGCTAACGATTGACGAGTTCCATACACGTAGGCGGGGCGGCAAGTATTGATGATGAATATGAATGCTGATTTAGGTATCGGTGGTGATGATGTTGGGCTGTTGCAGGCGGTACGTAGCTGCGAGAGCAATGGCGGAAACCAGCCTGGGCGTGTGTGGATTGGAGAAGGAAGTGTTGCAACGCTGATTCCAGCACCGCTACCGACAGGCACGATTTGATGCCGGTGCAGGAAGGCGCATGCTATACAAATCAGGCGTATATGGCGAGAATCGAATGGGGAACTTCTAATCGGAAGTTTGATGCCGTAAGTGATGCTAATGATGATGCTTGTGTAGGAAATGCTTGATGCTGGAGTTTGCACTATGAGCCGCTGGTGCATCACAGTGGGGTGGCCATGGCAGCAACAACGATGATGGAGGTGTTGGCCAGCAAGAAGAGGAATTACAGGATTTCTTTGATATTGTTTAGAATGATGCGTATTATTTTTTGTGTTTTTATTGGGAGCAATTCATACATCGTAATTGATGCGAAGATTACAGGGACCCGCGCCTTCTAGTAGCCATCATGGCCAATACCATCAGGCATAATATCATTATATAAGTCTAGATTGATGGATGAGCATTCTAAATATTTGGATAATTTTCGAATCAATCAAATTGAATCAACTTTATGTCGTTACTTGATGCCATTCACAGCACCTTCATCTCCCACCACTGGCAATACACGTGATGGGTGGGGTTCT